CATACCGACCCAGACCCTGTTTTAAAGACAGGCGAGCTGCAGAGGGTAATTAGAACTTAATGTCTAAAAATTTGGATAGAGCTGTTTGCAAATCCCTTGCCATTCTTTTTCAGACTCGATTTCAGAAATGAAAGGTTTCCTTGCCTCTTATGTACACCAACAATGCAAAAGCAAGCTCAGAACCCCTGGACGCCTGAGTAGCTCTATAATTAGATAGAAATTGCAGTCCAATGTTACAATGTTTTTGTGTGCACAGAAATAAATGAGCACTGAGGAGCTGCTGCCGAGATTTCCAGAGGAATCTTACACGTAGTGCCGGTTTTTGCTTAGAAAGCCTGTCTTGCCATTAATACTCTTCCCATAAATCTTTAAAATGCCTTTAGTTTCCTGGGTTTCACCATGAACAGAGAAAGAAAACGCACGCTTCTTTGAGTTCTTATTATGTGCTTATCATTATTCTGCTTTATTACTTTAACCTCAGAGCCTTCTTTAAGAGGTGGACTTAAAAATTCTGGTTTTGCAGATTAAAATATGATGCTCAGAAGAATTAGTAACTTAGCCCAAGGTGTGTTACTGGGCATGTTTCGGAGCTAGGTTCGAACACACGAAGCTTTGCTCTCGCCTGCATTCACCTCCTGTCTAGTTCAGGCTATTAAAAAAAAATAATTATATATATATATATATATATATATATATATATATATATATATATATATACACCATAGACTGGGTGGCTTATCACAACACAAACTTGTCTCTCCCAGTTCTGGAGGCTGGGAAATCCAAGCTTAAGGCACTGGCAGTTTCAGTGTCTGGTGAGGTCTCTCTTGCGTGTCACTGTGTCCTCACATGGCAGAAGGGCTGAGGGATCTCTGGGGTCTCCTTTGTAAGGGCACTGATCCCATTCACGAGGGCTCCACTCTCATGACCTAATCACCTCTCAAAGACCCCCACCTCTAAACACCATCACATTGGACATTGGACATTAGGATTCAGCAAATAAATTTGGGGGAACACATTCAGTCCATAGCACCTCTCTTTCCTTTGTTTCAGCAAACCCAGAAGGAAGTGCTGATCAGTTAACAGCTGTTAGAGGTTCAGGTGGGTTCTGTGTGCACATCCTCCCACACAGCCCTCTGGCATCCCCTGACACCCCACCAGAGGTATACAGAATGGCACAATAGCTAAGTGGGCAACAAAGCATCAGTTGCATACATTTCCAAGGAAATGCTTACTTTGCCTGTGCAAAACTATGCTACAAGCTGGAATACAGAATGCACCTAATGTCAAGAAACCACAAGATGTCCATCCTGAATCTTTTGGATCTCTGCCTGCCTTCTCGACTCCACCTTCAAACTTTAGTGTAGGGTCTTATTGCTGTGATGCTGGGAAAGACCAATTAGTGCCAAAGGAATATGGGAGGCAGACCTGGGAGCGTGCCCATCAGGACTTCCTGGAGGGACCTGAGCTTCTTTGCTTTAGGAAAGAGATGGTCTGGCCAAGGAGAAGAGATGGCCAAGCCTCTTCCCATAGAGAAGGTCAAGACTCTGGCTTCCCGACCATCACAGTGGATCTAGAGGGACTTAGTCTGGATGAGAATCTGAACTTGGCATAAACACTGACCTTTAACAGCAAACCTGTCCCCTAAGAACAGGTTCACTGAACATCCCAGACGGACTCTGACCAGTAAGGCTGACCCTTCCTCCTCATTTAAGATGCAGCAAGGGGGCCGAAAGAGGGGCGGGGAGTGTGGGTGGGAATCCTCCTCCCTGTGAAGGCTGGTGAGAAGGGAACCAGAGTCTTCTCCCCCCACAAAAACCCAAAGTCAGTGAGCATTTATTGAGCACTTTCTATATACTTCGCCTTATGCCAGGTGTCTTGGAAGAATTCAAAGAAAAGCTGAGCCTTGAAGGATGAACAGGAGGTGCCCCCAGGAAACTGAGAAAATACAGGGGTAGGGGTAGTGTAGCGTTTAGGGCACGTGCTTGAGGATTGCCCGTGGGGAACAGAGAGACGGAGAGAGAAAAGGCAGCAGCGAGAGCGAAGGGCAGCTCTTCCAGGCCAGGCACGTGGCGTGGAGGTCTGTAGAAGGTCTGCAGAAGGTCTGCAGACTCCATCTGGGTGGCAGCCCCGCCCGCGGAAGAGTCTGAGGCGCCTGCTGAGCTGCTTTCTGACTCACCGTTGCCTGATCAGCTTCTTCCTTCGCTTTGGAACAAGGCATTTGTGTTCTCAGTGGCTGCTTCACATTATTGAGACGCATCAGGTTTAGAATTGGCCCCTTCTCTCCTGGGCGTGTCTGACAAAGCAGTCCACCTGCATTCTCCATCACCGGCCTCCCCTGGGTGCCCGGGAATAATGGTGTGTTGTCAGGGAGTATTTTTCCAGCCTGTTTGGGGGGAAGTTTCCCATCTGCTTGGAGCCCTCTGGGAACCCACTGCTGCACAGATCTTCTGTTCTTATCTGGGACTCCTGCTGCAGAGATTTCCTATCAAGGTGATCCATAACATCAAAAGTATGAAGTATTAAAAAGAAAGAAAAGAAAGAAAAGAAAGACCTCCAACAATGATAGCTGGGCTGTGGGAGGAGTCACTTTCCAGCCCTCATGGTGCTTGACCTCACTCACTCCTTGTAAATGTCTTACCTCCCGGCTGTCATGATGCCATGCCCTCCTGCTCTCCTGTGTACCTGACTGCATTTCCTAGATTTCCTTTGCTACCTTCTCTTCTTCCAGCCCACTGGCTTCATCTTTATTCCTCCTCCTTCTTACTCTGCACACCCTCTTTGGGCGGGTTCCTTCATTCTCAGACCTTCAGCCACCACCTGTTCACCCCAGACCCAGAGCTCTACAGCATCTGCCTAGACATCTAAGTGTCTCCAGCTGGACGATCCACAAACACCCCAAATTCAACTTGCCCCAAATCAAATTCGTCATCCTTAACCCCTGTAAGCTAGCTTTCCTTCCCGCACTTACCAAGTTAAGACAGCTATCACATTAGTGTCGCTTGTAATGACTTCTCTCTTCCAAAAGCCCCGCCACGCACATGTATAAAACACGTGTTAAAATTACCTCCACATTGTTCCCTGAACCTCCCAGTTACCACTGCTGTTACCCTATGTTCCTCCCTTAACTCAGGCCTCAACTATTTTAATCTTCTAAACACTTTCTCTCCACCTCCCACCGCCTCCCACCACCTTCCACCATGGTTGTCTTTCAAATACACAGGCCTGATCATGTCCTTCCCTGATTAAACATCTTAAATATCAGTGCACTATCTCCAGGCAGAGCTTTCTAGCACAGGATTTATTGGACCAATACTCCCCAGTCCCAAACCTCACCACCTGGGTTACTGAAAAACTCTAAGGACACTGGTTACTCCCATTCTTCTGATGCTTTGCTCACGTTCCCCAACCTTTCCTCCCTAAAATCCTTCTCCCTAACTTCTAAGATCTAACCCAAATGTCACCTCTTCTGTGAAGTCTTTCTTGATTTCCTTTCTAATTTTCTAAATGATGGTTGTTCATAACACTTTATAGATCATAGCATATTATGTAATACTTCGTCATTTGTGTATCCATATTCCCCTGTAGATTATGATCTCCTAGAAGATGGGGAAGATGTGTCTCTGGTCCTGGGTACTCCTGGTGTTTACTTGGGAAGAAAGCTTGTTGAATGAAGACATATCATGTTGAAACCACAGAAGCATAAAAGATTATTGCAAACATGGGAGACACATTACTCACCAGAATGACTAGGATAGCAGAGTGGCAAAGCAGAGTGAACTTTATATACTACCTCCAGTACTTACCGACTCAGAAACCCCTTGGAAGTGCTCCTCTCTGATCCTTAAATCTTCACGTAAAAAAAGAGATCAAAAGACCTCTTAGGTTTGTTCTGAGGAATGGAAATGAGATACCCTATATAAAGTGCTTAACATTTTGCCTAGCACATAATCAGAGCTGAATACCTTACTTGCACGATTGTCGTTAATAATAAATAGGAAAATTCAGGCAAGAGGATAAGAAGAGGTAGCATTAGAAGGAGGTGGTTCAGTTTCATTCACTAAACGCACCCTCACTGAGCCCCAGCCAGTGGAAACTGTTAAAGCCAAACAGGAACACTGCACTTTGTAGAGGAAGGAGTGGATATAAAATCTCCACCACGTCCATGAAGGCACCTTTTAACATGCAGCAGTTCCCCAGCTGAAGCAGAGGTAGAGAAATTAGGGATGCCGGCCGAGGACACAAATGGCTGGACAGAGAAGAGAGAACAAGAGAGAAGCCATAAACTGGCTGATGAGGAGAGGAAGCAGATGCCCCCAGAGATGGGGTTTCAGATCATCAAGTTGCTAGAAACAGCCTGACACCCAACAGAAGTGCCCAACAGGCAGAAGTTGCCATGGGACAGAGCTTTGGAACAGAGCTTTGAAGCTCGAGGTATATGCTTAGGAGTGGTGTTGAAGCCTTGGGCAATGATGAGTTCTACTTACCCGTGTCCCACATGGTACATGGTATACTCTGTGCAAACCATGGTAATCGCTAGCTAACCAAGCAACCTGGAGAGATGCTAAGTTCCATTCTTTGCATCCGAGCAGCCGAGAGGGAAAGTATTTCCTAAAACCCACCTTGAAGGGGAAAGGACATGGGGGTCCCTCCCACAGTCAGAGTACCGAGATAATATTCTTGTGTGTTGCCTTGGCAGCAGTTGCCTGGTGAGGAAGAGGAAGGATAAAAGAAGAGAAAAAAAACTGGGCAGAAGCAACACATCAAGCCGAATACTTGATATTCATTGCAAAGTTTCTTGACAGAATATTCTGGGGATGGGTGTAATTTTTTTAAGTCTCCTGCTCATAGACCTTTTCTTGAACAAACAGACCTTTAAAGGAATTATTGGGTGCAAGGAGTGGGGAAAGGGGATCATGAACATGATTGCCAGAGTTGCTCAGCGAGAGCAGATCACACAGTTGATGTCATGTGACCCAGTGTTCTGTGTTTCCCTGCAGGGTGATGCCAATGGCCATCCAGTTTTCCATCCTGATTATGCTGCACTCGGCTCTGGTCCTCATCACCACTGCAGAGGATTATAAGTGTTTGCCCTTGGTCCTCCGGAAAACTTGCTGTTGGATTAATGAGACCTATTTGGCCAGAAACGTCATCATCTTTGCATCCATCTTGATTAACTTCCTGGGCGCCATCTTAAATATCGTAAGCGTTCCAAGCCCACCAACCCTTTGGTACCTAGTGTGTAGCCAGGAATTAAGAGTTTATGGAACCTGCAGCTTCTTGCATTGCCTTCCTTGGTACCGGTTACCTTCACGTGCCTGGTCCAGCCCCAAGCTTAGGGATAGAGAAGGAAGGTAGGGCTCTGCTGTCAGAACTGTGCATTTTACTGGTGGTAAATTGTCTTTTTTCCCAGTGGGCGAGGTGATTGGCTCTAAAGGAGCTCCAAACGCCCCCAGGTTTCTGTACTGTCAGTGGCCAGTCAATTACAACTGTAAGAGTTGCCATTTATTAAGTATCCACCTGCTGTGTGCCATGCACTGATGGAGGAGCTGTGTTTTTTGTATTTTATCCTCACATAAATCCCGTGAGGTAAGTCTCATTATCCCCACTTTATGGCTGAGGAAACTGAGGCTCAGAGACATGAAATAACTTGCTGATAAGGTCTGTCTGACTCCATGACTCGTGCTCATTCTCGTATGCCAAATTGTATCTCTGGGAGTGGAACGGGGGGGGGGGGGGGGAATGCAAATAAATAGCTGTCATTTACTGAGCACTTACTATGTGCCACAGGTAGGTATTATGGTTTCCATGTAACGGATGAGGAAACTGCAATTCAGGCAGGTTGAGCATCTTGCCTATGACGCTCTAAGAGTTCGTATTGGATGTGACACATCGAACTCAGATGAATCTCCAACTGCCATATTTATCGTGGTTTTTAATCTGGTGATCCATGCTTTAATGATTTCATTTTCTCTCTAGAATGGTAACTTGGTAGCTATAGGCATTTCTGTGCATATCCAAATACTCTGTGTTGTCCATGATTTAGAGATCTAGATTTTAGGAGAGATTTATCTGATTCCAGTTTCTGGACATTGAGGGAGGCTAACTGAGGCATTATCTTGTCGCTGAAACCATCACTATGCCTTTTGGGCCTGAGCGAGGGTCTCCAAGTGTTCAGGGACCCAAACTGTGGACTCTCATGATTGTCAGCCTGTGAGTTGAGGGCATATACTGCCTGAAATCCATTGTCCAAATTGGCCGAATAATTGCTTCCAGTCTATGTTGCTCAAGCCCCATGGTTGGCCTTGGAGTAAAGAGGTCTATGGGATAATGAAAAGGGAAATAATAATCTAATTAAATTCCTCACCTAATGAATATTTTATAGATAATGGCAATTGAAAATGGGAAGTACTTAGGATCGTTTATCACCAACTGCAGAGTTGTAGCCAGGATCTCAAGTCTTGATCAATCAGATGTTTCTGGGGTGCAGGATTTGGAGATAAACCCAGTGACTGTAGGTCAGGGTTACCTCTGGGGCCAGCCATGCCACAGTGGTGCAGAAGGAAGTTCAGAGGCTTTGGAGTCAGATAGACCTGCGTTCACATCTCAGCTCCACCACTTACCAGCTCAGTGACCCTGGACAAGTTACTTTACTTCTCAGAGTTTCATGTTTTTCAGTTGTAAAATGGGGATAAAAGTAGTAGCTACATCACCACGTGGCTGTGCGGCCTTTTTGTTCACAGTGTCTGGCACAGTGGAGGCATTCAGCCGGTGGTAGCTGTCCTTTTCTGAGTGCCACAAAGTCTCCTGCAGCCATTCCCAGCCGAGGCAGTGCCCACCATCCCGAGGCTGAGAGTCTGGAAAATGTACTCCCTCGGATCCCTCAAGTCCTCCCGGCCGTTGGTGTGGAGACAGACGTGAATGTCCCCCCAGACCTTTTCTCCTGCCATCTGGCTCTCCCTTCTGAGCCCCGCAAGCACACACCAGTGACCCTACGTGACGACAGGACCAACAGAGCATTCTTAGCCTGGTCTCATGAGTGGCTTGCAAATGTTTTGTCTGAGCCAGCGTTAGAAAGGAAGATTCCAGCTGGCACTTCATTCTGAAACCAAGCCCCTCGAGGGCCAGGTCTGCCCCAGGCACTTGCTGAAGCCCAGCAAGACAGCACACTAACCCGTCTCCAGCTCACACTGACTTTGTTGCTCCTGTGTTTTTTGTTTGTTTGTTTGTTTCTTGTTGTTCTTTCTTTTTCTTAATCCGCAGCTGTGGTGTGATTTTGACAAGTCGATACCCTTGAAGAACCTGACTTTCAATTCCTCAGCTGTGTTTACAGATATCTGCTCCTACCCAGAGGTATTTATTCCCGGGCTCCCCTTGGCGAGGCTGGGGCCTAGGAACCTCGCCAGCCCCACAGCAGCAGGGCTGGCTGAAGGGCCTTAGACATTCTAGCCCTCCAGAGGCCTGTTTTCCCTCCTCTGCCTCTTCCTCCTTTTCCTCTTCCTCCCCTTTGTACCCTTCCTTCTCGACCGTATCTTTTGCTTTTCTTCTGCCTCTTTCTTGCTCCCTCCACCACCTCTCTTTCCCATTTCTCTCTCTCTTATCCTTCCTCCTCCCATTCTTCCTTCTCCACTTTCTCCTCTACCGATTTTCTTCTTTCCCTTTGCGTCCTCCTCGCTTCTCATTTCCCCCAACGCATCTTAAAATCCTACAGCAGAATACGCTGTTGTCTCCAATATAGGGCAGAGCACAGAGTTATTGCTCAAACAGAGTTTGCTGCATTGGAAAAGAAACGAAGCAAGGAAGGAAGGAAAGAGGGAAGGAATGGAGGAAGGAAAGAAGGAGATGGAGAAGGAAGGAAGCTAGTAAATCACAAATGCAGTAAACAACTAAACGTAAATGAAAATGATACAGAAAGTGCCCAGAGAAACAGACTCAGGAGGTGTCCCGACATGACACTCAGCATCATATTGTAAGTCTGACCCTCTCTCGGCCACACGGCCGCTAGTCTGGCCCTGGGCCGTGGGGTCAGCCTATGGGATCAGGCAAAGGACCATCTTCAGCTCTGGTAAGCCATGACCCAGACCTTCACGTACTGGGACATAAGTTCTGGGTCAAGCAGGAAGACAGCTGCGATGTCCCAGCAAAGTCCAGCCAATCCCATGCCCTGAGGTCCCTGGGTACATTTTTGTTCTCTAAGCACCCTTCCAACATGCGGTGGGGAAAGGTTCTCTGTTACCTCACCCCGGCCCCAGGATTGGTCTGAGAAATGTTCTGAAGTGGAAAGAAAGCCCACCCCTGACCCCCCAGCACAGAGCACTACCTGACAGGCGCAGCGTCATTCCGTCCTCGAGACGCGCGGGCGGACGCTCTTACCGGCTCCGCTTCACAGGTAATGACGCTAAGGCTCAGGAGGGACCTTGCTCAGTGCCGCTCCTGCCTGCCCTCCATTCTTTTTCACTTCTTTTCATCCTTCCTTCTTTCTGCCTTTTCCTTCCTACTTCAGTTATCGAGACTTGTTATTACAGTTCAAACCATATCTGACTTCTTCTTGAGCTCATAGTTCTGAATCTGGTCTCAGTCCCTAGGGAGGAACTAGGCTCTTCTCACGGAAGTCCTGGGCAGGACGAGACTAGCTCTGGTTTCAGGGCTGCGTGGGGCAGACCATGTGCTCTGGCCCCTCCTCCCACCAATAATGAGTGAGCTCCGATTTTGTGGACTCTGTGGGACGCCAGCTCCCTGAGAACTTCTTGGTTTGGAGGGCATGAGGAGTGTCCCAAGCAGCAGTAAGTCAGCCAAGAATCAGATATTTAGAGTTAGGCAAAAGCTGGATTTCACTCCCAAATGAACCCTTTCACTTGCTAGCAGTGGAATCTTGAGTCAGTTCATACTCTCTCTGAACCTCAGCTTCCTCATCTGTAAAGTGGGAAAAACAGTACCTTCTTCACATGGTGACCGTAGAGTGAAGGAATATCATGTCCTCACTGTGCCCACCTAGATGAGTTGGCAAGCGTTGAGTTTCTAACATGTGGTCTGACATGAAGTTGGTGTTTGTGAAATATTAAACTGAGCCTCTAAATCAAACTGAGCCTCTAAATCAACAGATCTATGTACCTTTGGCCCCAGACTTGAACTCCCAAACTCAGGGCCACAGCACTCACGGATTTCCCAGTCCTAAGAAAGTGGTAGGTAAGCTTTAGGATCACATAGCTTCATCCCTGTGACCTCTATTTCCTTAACTGCAAAATGAGGCTGAAAGCAATACCTTCCTCATGGGTGGTTGTGAGGATTAAGTGAATTAATCCATGAAAAGTGTTCAGAGCCACAACACATGGCACAAAATAACTGCTGATTAAGTGTCAGCCATGATTTACTTACCAAGTGAAAAGGTTTTGAGCCTGTTTACCTATCAATTACCTACCTCTACCACTGTGCTAATAGATCATGTACATTAGGAAACATACTCATTAAAGAGAAATGTTAAAAAGTGAGATAAAATAAATGAATCAGAGGTTTAATATTTATCTCCTCCAAAGTATCATCTTGCCCAGGGGTCAGCAAACTATGGCCACAGGCCAAATTGTGCCTGCCACTTGTTTTGTAGATAAAGTTTTCTTGGGGCACAAACACACCCACTTATTAGCAATGTCTATGGCTGCATTTATACTAATTTACCAGCAGATCTGAGTAGTTGCAACAGAGGTAGTGTGGCCCATTAAGCCAAAGATACTTACTGTCTGGCCCTTGACAGACAAAGTTCCCCAGCTCCTGACATTCCCTCGGGTGCAGGAATCCCACTGGTCTAAAAGATGGGCATCTGGGCTCTTTCCACCACCAGCTGCTACAGCAACCTGGTTTGACCTACCATTTGCTGTCCTGTTCTATGTGACTGCGCTTCTCTACCTAAGGATTTGTCTACCAAACTAGGATGAATCAGATATTCAAACCTTCTAAAAGACTTAATCTACACAGCCACCTCCCCTCACTCACAAGTGTGTGTCCTCACGCAAATCATTTCATCTCTGTGAGCCTTGGTTCCCTCACCTGTATACCAGACGTCTCTACCTCACCCCATGATAAATGATTGTCAGTCCAGAAGCATATTATTCTGGATGATGTGAAATAAACATAAGAATCGGTTATAATATATGCTACAAAGTACAATTTATTTCTAAACTGGAGCTTGCCAATTACCAAAAAAAAGAGTAACAATTCCGGAAAGGACAGTGAAGAAAGCTAAATTCTGGCTATGATTTGAGAAGCAGTCTAGGGGAGCGAAGAGGCACAGGTTTGTAAAGTGAATGACAGTCACATGTGCAAACCCAGAGTATCATTATCTCAAGCACCAGAATGTGGTTCTCAGGAAGCTCAATGGGGAGAGCTTCGTTTTACAATCAAGCCCCTTTATTACTTGCTCTGGCACATTTGAATCAATAGTCAGCTGGACTTGCAGGAGCAGTCAGAGTATGCTATGGTTTTAAAGGATCCCTGAGAGCCAATTTTCCCCAGAGCTGTAATCATCTCTGTCTTTGTATCCCGGCGCTTTCTCCCATTTCTCCGCCATGTATTCAGGTCCTACTCAGCTTCAAGCTTCTCCTTTTCAAAATGAGTTCTTTGGTGGACCAAATCCCTTCAGATTATTTCCTGCCATCTCACATGCCCTTAAGGCATCTTCTTAGTACTCACACTCCATCCTTTCTATAATTTATTTATCTAGCTGAGACAGTCTTCCAACCCTTCAAATTTATAAATTGCTCTAAGGAGAAAAGACAATATTGTATAGTTATTTAATATTACCCAAAGGGCGCAGCACAGGACAGAGCCTTCAATCTGTTTAATAATTTTTCTTAAATTTATTTCCAATGGAGTAGCAGAGATAAGATTTGCCTTCCCACCTGAAACAACTAAAAACAAACAAACAAAATATATGAAACAATCGTTTTCAAGACACAGGGCATCAGGTATTGAAGGACAGTGATCCCTGAAAGACAGGAAGTAAATGAAGCGAGTCTTTTGATTGCTTGAACATCATCTTGCTTTAAGAGAAGTTTTAGATGTGGTTCAGGTTGGGAGAATCCAGATAGAAACTAGTTCAATCCCTGATTTGAGGCGATAGAGGTGAGAATCTGGGGAGACCAACATGGCTAGACTTTGCAGGACACATGACTAGAGAGAAGAAAAGTTGCAGAGACAGAAAAACTCAGAGATCTGCAGAGGGTCCAGTCAGTGAGGAAACTACACTATGCTTGGGAAAGAACCGTCTGAAAGGATTGGTGCCTGGTGCCCACACGGGGCTGGGAAGAGTGACTTCTCCCACCAGCCAGACTGGAAAACATCATAGTTCATGGGACATTAGGCAGAGCAATCAGAAGGGTCTCGCTTCAGTAATGTGCAATAATTATCCCTAAATTATATGCTGCTCTAATTCTTCCTTAAAAAAATTCTTAAAAGTAAGACCAAAAGTCTACGAAGACACTTCTTCTTTTTTTAGATCCAAATGTTTATTTTTTGTGTTACAAGAATGAAAGTAAATCCAATCAGATAATGAAATAAACATACGAGGCAATTGGTCTTTGAGTAGGGATAAATTACTCTAAAAGAAATGAATCCTAGATAATTTTCCCTTCAAATCAAGCGTCTTGTTGCGTAATAAACTTTTTGTTTGGAAAAAATAATGAGAAATGTTTTATATTAGAAAATATGAAAAAGTTATATTTGTGTATTGGAAAAGAATGTTCATAACAACCTTCCTGTAAAGCCGAAAACTAGAAACAACCCAAATGTCTGTAAGTAGATGAAAGGATAAACAAACTGTGGAATATTCATCTGTTGAACTACTACCCATCAGTAGAAGGGAATGATCTATTGACAGATGTGCAATAACGTGGATGAATCCCAAGATCATTACGCTAAGGGAAATAAACAAAACAAAGACAGTATGCACTTGTATGGTCCCATTGATTTAAAACTCTAGAAGATGCAAACTGATACACAGTAACAGAAAAAAGTCAGTAGTTGCGTGGGGAGGAGGGGTAAGGATGTGGGAGGGAAATTATAAAGGGACACAATGAAACTTGTGTAAGTGTTCCTTTTCTTGATGGTGATGGCTTCACAGATGTGTACAAATACTGAATCTTTTCAAAGGTATGCATTAGATCTACACAGTTGATTGTAGGACACTCATAACTCAATAAAGCTATCTTTAAAACCGAGCACAAAAGAGGAGTCAGAAAGACAGACAGAGAAAAGTGAGGAGCAGAATTACAGAGGGTCTGTCAGAAACCGGCAGTCAGAAAATTTTGACTTAAATTCCAGCTCCGATGCTTATAACTGTGGTCTTGAGCAAGTTACTCAAGCTCTGAGCCTCATTTCCACACTGGGGATAATGACTGTGGATACGTCACAGGGTTATCATGAGACTTTGAAAAAAAATGCATATGTACATTTACTACCATTTCTTGTGCATAATAGATGCTCATTAAACATCAGTCATTATGATGATGATGACAAAGAGGAAGGAAGAAAGAAGGGGACTTTAAAAAGGAAGACAAAAGGGAAAAAAAGCAAGAAGGAGCAAAAAAAGAGGAAAAGAAACAATTAAGAGTCAATCAGTGGTAATAAAGCAAATAAGCAGATTTTTTAAATTCCAAAAGTGGCTGTAAAAATTAGTGCCTCCCTAAACTCTTGCCTTCATTTCTCTGGTTAACTCCTCAGGTAAGAATCAGAACCCTGAATGATTTTGGAGGAAAATGTATTCACTGTGGTCTAAAATCCCCAGCTGGTATTCAGGATAAAATTAGATTTTCCCAAACTTCCACAGAGATAGACCCACCACCAAATAATTCAAACAAAGAATAGCTCAAAGAAATTGTCAAATCGCTCCACTGTCATTTCAGAATGTTTTCTAGTTGAACAGAGGGATGTTGTATAAGCTCATTTGGCTCCTACACTGAGCCAGTTTTATGTTATGGCTAAATACATAGAGGAGATCATTTTGTTTTTTTCCCCAAATGATAATTAATTTTTGGAATTGCCTTTCCCAACAAAGAGCCAAAAGCTATAATAACACAATGTTATCCAAAAACCAACAAGTCCTGTCTCACTGAAGCTTAGATTCCAAGTCTTTAAGGACATTAATTGTGCATGGGAGACAGAATAGGTCTGAATGGTAAAGGCTGTGTGGTGAAATAGAACGAGAAAGCACTCTTCTGCCATTTACTAGCTGAGTAGCCTTGGGCAAGTCACTAACCTCTCTGAGCCTCAGTTTCCTCATCTGTATAATGGAATTGTTAATATCTTGTGAGATTATTTGGATGACAGATAGAGATAATATACATGAAACACTCAATAAATGTTAGTTTCTTTCTTCTCTCCCTCTCTTTCTTAAAGGCTTTGGTAACTAAGAGTAAATAGTGCCTGTCCAAGTAGAGGTTTGAGTTTAAGGAAGAAGATACAGATGTAACAATTTTTTTTTAAATGCACAAGGCTTTGTGCTCTAAAACATGAGATTACCTACATAATCATGTGTACTAAAAATCTGAGCAAGCCACAGTTTCATAGCAATATCAATCTTCTGGCCTCACTAATTATTTACAAAATGGTGACCACCTTGAGTTGGATCACTCTCAGGGATCCAGATCCTTCCAGACCCTCAGTTGTTGCCCAGGTCAAGGGAGTAGTCCAACAAGGCCACCACGTTCCTCTTTGCTACTTGTTCTTAGCTGACAACATCTGCTTCCTAGGTATGTTCAACAATGTCAAATCATTACCCTCTGGGAACACATTTGATTTTTAGAAGTCACCAAGATGAGTTATCTGGCTGGACATCACCGTTTAGGCAGCAAATACAGAGAGATTGCATTTCTGGTATTTTTCAAAAATAGACTCTGAAGATAATGTGTAGGTGTCTGAGCTCAGTTGTTAAAGAATCATGGTTGAGATGAGCACATAGTCCCCCAAGTTGACTATGTTGAATTGACCTATAAGCATTGTCAAGAAAAGCATCATTGTTTTATTTATTTTTCTAAATTATGAAGTGATGCCTTTCCATAAGAAATAGCTATTTGCCTGCTCATTGATTAGGTTTTGCTTCATAGTTATAATGTAGATGTCATTAACATAAGTATGTCTTCTTGTGAATTAGTATGAAGTTAAAATTTTGACTGAGACTGTAGTCCCTTCTAGGAAATAACCACAAGAGTCCATCTGTCCTCAGCTCAAGTCAGATGTAAACAGCACATCTACTTATGGAATTTAAACGCAGTTTTGACAGATCCGAGTTAATAGCTACAATGAACTAGAGAGCATTCATTATTTTTCCCCTAGTATGGAAAAAAAAAGGTCAACCATGGAAAGCAGGGTCTAAAATAAGACAAAACACAGTAAGATTGTACCAGAGCCCCAAGCACACTCAAAATGCCCCCTTTCCCCTACCTAACACAATCCAGTAAGCAGCTTGGAGAGTCAGGTCAGTTACCTCCACCTGGCACCTGTGGTGGCCCCAGGTTCATGACAACCTCATTCCTGGACCGTGAGGGGAGTCAGGACTCAGGGAGAAGCAGAGCAGCCTCTGTTGTTGGCCTGTGTGCCTTCACAGTGCTGCTGGTACCAAGACTTATAATAGCTAAGAATTAGGTTCTGTATGAATCAGCAAGTTTGGATCCTTTCTTTGAATGACAGTGACTCCTTCTTGTTCTGTGAGTTCACAATGCTGTAGGATCTGGGCCACAACCAAATGGCTACAGACACTCCAGTGGATGTGATTGGTGTGGACAGATGCTCAAGATCTTCTTTGAGTCATCATTGTGTAAAATTCTTCTTTCTGTTTCTTCTAAGATGAAAATGTGTTCATACTGCCATGGTAATTTATGAAAATTATGACCATGTCCTGACATTCAGGTGGCACCTTCCAGCCTGGCACCATGCTTGGTGCCCAGCAGGTCCTAAATGCCTGCTTTAGCTTATAAAATGCTTGTTTCAAGCAAACAATCAGATATTGCTCCACTTAACACTTTGTTACTGTTGATGTTTCCACGTCTCATTCACAGTTTAGACCTTGACTTCCTTCAGGCTTGGGCCATTTCCTTGAATTCCCAGTGCCTAGCACCATGCTTTGATTACAACAGCCATGCAATAAATGTTTATTATATTTCTAATATTTAGCTGTTGTGCCCTCTTAGGTTTTTGCTCAAGGGAACAATCATCTCATGGCTTTTGACCTTATAAGTGATTCATGATTTGCATTGGCAAAGCTATGCATGACCTTTGCTTGTGATGCAAGTAACAATGAGACAGGTCCCCTCAGATCGATTCCTCTTTCCTCCATTTGTTAAAATGGAAGATCTTGGGAGTTTCTCTGGATAGAAAAAAGATAAACTCTGAAAAATGAACTAGTTATTGTCTTCTCACTTCACTCACAGCTTCCTGCACAGAGGCATCAGGACAAGTTACCAAACAATCTTGCCAAGGGAAGATCTTTCAGGAGAGATGAAGAAAGCTTATCATTCCATTGGAGACAAGGACACAATTGGATTTATTAGGATAGGAAGAAACAAAAGTAAAGGATGCCCCAGACACCAGGCTCCTTAAAGGCAGGGCAGTGCCTTACTCATTTCTGGGTCAACCCCGTGCACCATGATGGCACTTGTCCTTTGCCCTCAGGGGCAACTCAGTCAGGGTGCTGTCCACATTTGTTGGTATCACTGCCCTTGTTGAAAGTAGACACAAATGAGTCAGTTGGCTTAAGAAATCAGTGATTCAGTAGTTGCTCGGGGATTTCCGGAAATTCTTACCCATTTCCCCTGCCCCTCACAGAAATTGTCTCTTCATGTAATAAGAGAGAGATGACAACCAGTTTCTGGAAGGAGCCATACATAACAGGGCTGGAATGGATTTTTTAAATTATTAAGCCCTATATGCCCACCAGAATTACATTCACATGGGCAGGTTGTATCCAGATATCCTAGGGGCAATGTTCTAGTTATGAGAATTTGAACCATTTGCTTAAGCTCTATGAGACTCAGTTGCTTCCCCTATAAAATGGAAATTATGATTCCCTTCTTGATCAGTTACTTTGAAAACTGCAAGAGAAGACGTGTATAAACATCAGAAGTACCACCACCAAGCGGGACTTTGATGATGCGAGTTTTATCCTTTTTTTCCTGCTAGATAGTCAGATTCCAAACCTACCATCCAGAAGGACACTGTGGGATTCTTCTATAAGGGAATGGGCAGAGGCGCTCCCTATAGAAGGCTGAAATCCACCTGCGTGGACTGACATATAGGGGCCACTCCAACATTACAGCCCTTGAGTGGTTCCAAACTGGCCCACTGAGCGGCTGCTTCTAACACAGGGTGGCAGATATTAAGCTGGGTGGTGATGTATGCTATGGAGGAATGAGGCCATGTCCGGAAGCACCTGGAGAGATGCATGAAGGCTTCTCACAGGAGAAACACCAGAGGAGTAATCCTTAGTTACCTGATGAGATTTGAGCAACAGGACACAAGATACAAAACGCCAAGGCACAGGAGAGTGGGGAAAGCGCTGTGGGAGACAGCAAGTAGACAGTGAGGCTAGACCATAAGGTGGGGTTTGGAAAGTGAAAGGAAATCCATATATGATGGCCTCGAGGGTTTTGCTGTGCAGGATGGAGAACATAATTGGGGGGAACAGAGAGCAATGAAAACACTTCAAGTTAGGGAGTAACGTGATCAGATCTGTGTCTTGGAAATACTGGATAGGGAATAAGAGTGTGTATTTAGTGGGGATTGAGAGCTAGAAGCAGATAGAGCTACCAGAAAATGGTTTCAAAACTATAGGTGAAAGCTAAAACAGAAACAAAGTAGAGGGAGACAAGTAGATGGATGTGAGATTTATTAAGAAAGTAAAATCTACAGACTTAGGATGACCCGGCTGTGGAATGTGGGGGAAAGAAAGACAGCAAAGATGAGATCAAGTTTTCTGGCTTGAGGAATGGTGCAAATGGTTCCCCGAAGTTAGGGAACAGAGATTTGGGGAGGTGCTACGGAAATGATGAGTTCAACATGGGAGTTGAATTTGAGGAGTTGGAGTTTGGGGATGGCCTGAGACTTCCAAACGGAGATGCTCAGTAAACATCTGTATTAGGAGACTGACTGGCATTCATGACTAGGAGGATGACCCTCCCACATTCCTACTGAATTTGACCATCTACCGTCTCTGTTTCCAGTACTTCGTCTTCACGGGGGTGCTGGCCATGGTGACCTGTGCGGTTTTTCTCCGACTTAATTCTGTCCTGAAGCTGGCTGTGCTGCTGATTATGATCGCTATCTATGCCCTGCTGACTGAGACCATCTATGCAGGGCTGTTTCTGCGCTACGACAGCCTGAACCACAGTGGAGAGTAAGTGCCCAGTCAAATCCCTAGTTTTCAGTTTCATCATGTATTTGCATGACGGATTAAGTAATCCATTAAATTTTGGACTAAATCACAGCTTAGGTGCGGCCAAATGTAATAATGGATGGTCTGTTCAATCTCAATAGCTCCAAAACTGGAGGGTTTGACTCTAATTTGTCTGTAGCAATACTAATAATAGCAGACACTGTGCATGGAGTACTTACTATCTTCCCTGCATTTTGTTATTTTTGAAATACAGAAAAATACAAAAAAAGAATATCTTAGCCTAGATTCCTTAGATAACAGAGCCCGAGGCAAGCATGAAGTGCAAACCCAGGGCAGCAGAAGTCAGGGAAAAGAGAAGTGAAGAAGAGGGTGGGAGGTAAATACGAGTTAATGCCATATTGTGCTGACCAGAATGAACTGCAAAGAGATTCAGCTGGTGCCTTGGAGGATGCGCTCATTTGGCCAATTGGAATATCTCTAGGTAGGCGGTGAGGTAAGGAAAAGCATCTCAAATGGAGGAGGGGAGAGGAATCTGCTGGCCTCTTCCCTCTCCTTTCTCCCACTGGTCGCAGTTCACGCCCCGGATGTGCTTCCTGGTGACGTCTCCTGGCCCCTTCCACAGTCCCGGGGTAAAGCTGACCCCACACCTGCCTGGTGGAGCTTCATCTGAGTTGGAAGTGGTGGGAGGAGCCAGACACTGAGCGTGTGGCTGATCGGCCTCGGGGGTAGGAAGCACATAGGTCTCACTGAGACCAGAACAAGTGCCAACATCTGAGAGAAAGAGGAAGTCAAGTTAGTTCAAGAAGCCTCAGAAAATATGTCTGATGCTAATAACGTGAGCATCTATGAACCAACCCATCGAAATAAATAATGCTAAGAATTAGTTGTGCTTACTTCGGCATTTTTAAAGGTATAAAGCATTGCAGATGTTGTTGAAGTTCCCTTCCCCAACTTGTTCTTTTGCCCTCCTCCCAAGAGTCAACATCAAATGCACTTAACACATATCCTTCCCATCTCTGTGTTTTACATATAATTAGTTATGTCTGTATTCATAAATTATTTATAAAATTCTTGTGTTGTAATGCAACATTTATCTTTTTAGATCCATCTAGGCTCATTTCTACAGGTCTAATTCCTTTTAGCTGTTGTATGTACATGTTATACAATATGAACACACCAAAATATATTTATCCTTTGACCTTTTAGAAGGTTATCAATGCCTCTGTGATCATCATTGAACATGTCTCCTGGGGTTTATATCTAAGAGCACATTTGCTGGATTGTATCTTCATTTCCCACTTTTTAAAATATTGCCAAATGGCTCTCCAACAAAGTGGGAACAGTTTCTCTTTTAATAAGCAGCAGTCCTTGTAATTCTCATTGAATTTATGAGTGAGAATTTTGTCTCATCGCTTTCATTAATAGTTCCTTGATCGTGAGTAATAAGTTTGTGTATCTCTTTATTGTTGTTGATTGACCATTTTCGGTAAACTTCCAGGTCATACCTTTTGCCTGCGTTTCTATTAGGTGGTTTGCCTTATTCTTACAGGTTTTACAAAGGTTCTTTATAAATGCTAGATATGAATAATTTGTGTCTGCTTTGCATATGCATCATTCACTTTACATCCATTGCCCTATTTAACCTTCACAGCAACAATCTGAGGGACATAGTCTCAGAGAGATTTGACAGTTACCCAGGTGCACACAGCCCGTAGGTAACAGTTGTGGATTCTAGATCAAGTCTTTCTGCCTCCAAAGTCCATCTTTCTAAACACTGCATACATCTCTCATAGATGAAGGTGAAGAATCTCTCACCATATGCCCAGGGTTCAGAGAAAGCTGAAACAGTTTCAAATTAGGTAAACTAGTTAGTGGCAGCAGATGTCCCACGGACAAGCAGAAACCAGCACAAAAGGAGGCAAAGACATGTATGAACAAAATAGGCCACCTTTGTGGCAAAATAAAGACTAACCCATCTAAAATCTATTCATTCCAAGGGAAACACTGTATTAATGGAGCATTAATGGAGCAAACCAGGGCTTTGGCTTCAGATCCAGACTCTCTTGAATTAGAAATTCCCCTCCCATCTCTGGATCTCAGTGAAATGGAATAACTAAACTGCTATGGGGCTGTGTGAGGCTCTGATATGCCTGGCACAGGGTAGGTGACCAATATCTGTTCATTCCTGTCCCCTCCCTCCTTTTTAGGAGAGAGGTTTAGTTCTAAATTCTGTCTTGAGGTGTTAAGGAAACACTTACAGTTAAATTATTAAGTAGGATTGTGAAAGTAAGCGTAATCCCAGATCCACTGCTGCTGACGTTCAAGTGCCTTTCTCAGTTTCTTCCTAGCTCAAGGTCAATCATCAGTTCATCTTGTATTGACTCACACTCTGCTATCAACAGAATTAAATTAAGAAGGCGTGGAAGAGCTCGTCCGGCCCTTCCCTCTCAGCTGCATTATAAATCAGCAGGTCAGCAGTCACTGCGTGGCCCTTTGGCAGCCCCGGCCTGCTCGTGCTGCTGGGATTTAGCCAGCCCTCTAGGAGCCCACGTTGGTTCAGGGCATTTCTGCTGGTTGCTCCTGGGGGTCAGGCACCTGGGAAAGTACAGAGAACCTTGCGCAGGGCAGCCTGTCTGCTTCCACACTGAGATGATCCCAAATACCACAGATTCTCCCTCTGCCCCTGAGGCCCTCTCCACGACAACCCCCTATGACACTGAGCCCAAAACAGGTGGGGCACCCTCACTCCCAATATCTTATTAGTCCCTAGAGATGCATCCTCTTCAGCATCCCTTGTAGTGAAGACTATATCATGACACTTGTGAGTACAAGCTTAGGAACTGAACTACCTATGTTCAAATCCCAGCTCCATCATCAGCCAGCTGTGTGCAAATTAGGTACAAGTGACAACTCTCTAACCCTGTTTTCCCATCCGTAAAGTGGGGATAATAATGGTTCCTATGTTGTAGTAACAGATGAGAGATCAACTGTGATCATGGAAACTTAGCACAGGGCCTGGCATAAAATAGGCACTTGATTAATACTAACAATTATCATCGGACATGACTCCTTCTATACCACAAAAACTGCTATTCTAGAAATATCCTTTCTCTCATCTCTGGACTGCAGTACCCTAAGTGACGTCCCAGCCTCTGCTCTCCGTCCACCCTCCTCAATGCCATCAAAGCCATTTGGCCAACTCATTATCCTTCTTAAAATCTTCCTAAGGTGCTCCCTGTTGCCTCTAAGGAGCTAGAAGTTCTACCTGTTTGTCAAGAACTTCAAAACTCTGTCTGGAGTCCCACTGACTTCTCCAGTCTTATCTCCTCCAACGCCATAGGTCACCCCTGTAGCCCACATTCCTGCCATGGGAAACCAGGTGCTGTTTACCAAATGAGCTTCTGCATATACTGAACCCCCATCTGATATGCCTATCTTTTTCCGACCCATCATACTCAAGGACATCTTCCTCAGGGAAGCCCTCTTTGAATCATTCCTCTTTTTCTAATCTGTGCACATAATTTTTTTTATTATTGCAGTTTGTTACAATCAGTTTCCATGTCTTCCTCTTCCATTAGAATAGGAGCTTCTGAGGGAATGGGCTATTGCTCATGTTCATATTTTGGGCACTTAGTGGAGTATCTGGCAGCAGGTGTTCAATTAAATATTTGTTGAAAGAAATGTGAAATGAATGAGTGACTGGTAGAATGTCAGCTCATTTGGAATCATAGTACGATATTAACCATAGTGAGCTAAGTGTCATCTACCTAGAGCCCTGGGATTTTTGCTCACCATCACCCATAAACCATGTGCTCCCCATCCTGTAAGCACAATTTGCTTTCAGACTTAAGTGTCACACCTTTTCTATGGGCTTTGCTAGGCCCTGCAAACTCAGAGATGAATAAAACACCACAAGGAACTTATGGGCAAGCAATTATAAGTAAGTGCATCTCGGAGGGCAGGGTGGCTACTGAAAAGCATCACTGAGGTCTGGATTGATAGCCAGCCTTCATCACTCACTAGATCCGTGAACTGGAACGTGTCACTTAACATCTGGGTCTCGGTTTCTTCTTCACTAGAATAGGGATAATAATATTTTAAGTGTTGACATGTATGAAAGCAGGCAATGTATGCAGAGTTGTTAGAGGTATGGCATAAATCTGCACTAAGCAAATGCAGTCATTAGCATGGCAACAGAATAAAAGATAAATTCAAACTGGCTGGTTTATTTTGGGTTTCACAGGAGGGAAACTAATAACTACATTAAAATTTGGCATAATAACTAATAGCTACATTAAAATTTGGCATCAGATACACGATGGCTAATGCTCTGAACCTGGTGCCTGAGATGTGAATTCTCATCCTGGCTGACACAAATCTGCTGTGTGACCTTGAGCAAGCACCTTCTTCTCTCTGGGCCTCAGTCTTCTGCCTATAAAGTAAAAGGCTTGCAAGGACTATTATGCCAAGTATACATAATATGGAATAGGATGGATCCATTAAACTCACATTGTAAAGTATTTAATGATAAGGGATTGTTTTCATAATACATAATAAGCCCAAAAGTAGGTTGCAAAACTGCATGAACCATACAATCAGAAATTTGTAAACATAACTATGTTTTTGCCTGAAAGAAGAGGAAATGACATTGAGTTGATTCCAAAATATTAACTGTTGTCTGGGTGGTGGGCTTAAGGACAATTTTTATTTATTTATTTGTGAATTTTTATTAGCTTCCAAATTTACTACCATTAGCATGTGTACCTCTATAATGATTAACCCTCAAATTAAATATAAATTTTTATGAGACATCTGATAAGATGATCTCTAAAGATTGTGATAGCCCTGAGAACTACAATATTCTACATGTGTTTTTTAATTAATTTTACCCTTTTCTATTAGCATAGGGAAAGGGTAGTATTAATTCAGTGATTCTATTAATACATATAAATTATTTCAAGACGTCCTTGGTCTTATGTCTCAACCACCCAATATCTAGCAAAGTATTACAATTTTGCACATATTTTAGCCATTTGGGTCTCTTTGGAAGTTCTTCAAATAATCATAGAAACTACAAAAAATAAAATCTCCTCTAAATTGAAATCACAGTTCTTTCTGGGTGTCCTTTGGCCTGGCTGACTTACTGTGCACATTCTGCAGTCTCCTCTCAGGTCATATTTTTTCCATCTGAAATACATCCTAAAGATCCAAAGACCATTCATAATGTTCCTTTACTTTTCTTCCAAATTTGATCTAGTCATCTCTCTATTTTTGGTCAACCACTGCTTTCAAAATGATTCAAGAGGTATTTATGTTTTCTCTTGAAAGTATTTTTTAAGTGATAAATTGCTGAGCTTAAAAAAGTCTTCTGTATCACAAAGAAAAGGATATCAGAAGTGCTAGTCAGAGCAGGAGGTCAGGCTGTATTCAAGAGGAGCTAAACATAGGACATCTCCCATTCAAACTAAGCCATGTAAATGAGTGATTTTTTAAAATGTCACCAGCAGAAGCAAGATCATGTACTGGGAGTTTTACGGGGTAGAGAGAGACGGATGTGAGCCACACACCACACCAAGCACATTACCAAGATTTGGTCAACGAATTCTCACAATTACAGAGGTAAATATTATTAGCGTCTTTCACAGGGCAAGGAACTGAGGCTCAGAGATACTGAGTGACTTGTCCAAGATCAAGCAACTGGTTTGTAGCAGACCCAAGCTTGGAACCTGGGGTCTGCATGAGTACAAAGCTCATGACTTTAATTATTTTATCAGGAATCCACAAACTTCAGGAGCCAAAGAATTAAGTGACATGAAGGAAAGGGTGGCACTGGAATGTGCATATTCCCCCAAACAAGCACTCTGGTGACTGGGACTGAATGAATCCTAGTCCCTAAAATTCTAAATGACAATATTCAGCTCACAGCCCAACCCTCTTCACTTCAGCACTGGCGGTGGACAGCTCTACCACATCTGAGCACCCTCTCCTACTTAGCCTGCTTGTAGCCTCAAACTTGATTTATGATGTTTACTTATCCTCCCTACACTAGTGGCTTGCAAACAGCTAGCTAAGCAAGATATATGTCAAGGACCTTTAGAACCCGTCCTACCTTTTCCTCCCAAAGTCTTATCAACCTGTGATACTCAGCTCTTGAGTCTTCCCTGGACATCCAGCCTGTGTTACTTTCTCTTCCCATATATCCCCATGGCAACAAGGATGAATCTTCACTATGGGGTGTATTGTGTAATGAAATTATCTGTCTACGTGATTCTTTCCTTTACTGGACTCTTTTGAGGACAAAGACAAGGCGCCTTCTTCAGTTCTGTATCCTAGCACATGCCTGGTACACAGTCGATGCTCAATAATTTATGTGCTTCATCAGGGCTACAAAGAAGAAACATAATATCGAGTATCTTCTATTATTAGCATTTTATCTCCAGGGAAAAGTAGGTGGAAGCAGGAATTCACAAATCTGAATCTTGTTTCAGCCCACAGAGTTCCTCGGTCCTCTAGGTCCCCAGGGGCACAATACTCCCCAAGAGAAAACACATTTCCTTTCCTAAGTCCCCATCCTACATGGAGGGGCTTGGCCCTGTGTAAAAGGGCCTAAGAGGGTCTTTTAGCATAAAGGTAGGTGAGAAGCTGTCCGTGGCAACTGGGTTCATGCCCCCATTTCCCTTAGCCCCATGTTACTCCTGGTAGTCTCCAGTGACAATAGAAAAGGGAAAGCTGGAGACCACCTGGGTGCAGCCAAATTAATGCTCGTTCTACTCTCTCTGAGCACTACATCTCGTCTACGATGGTCCCATTGTGTCCTTAAGCCACAGCAGAGTTAAGTCACCTCTGAGTGAGTTCTGAGTATATGTATGCTTGTGGTCGGGAAGCTATAAAACCAAGGAGTGATGTGATCTGATTTTTGTGAGCAGCCAAGTAGAAAAGAAATTGTAGAGGTTAACATTATGAGGTGACCACAAATCACAGTGACTGTATTCAGGTAGTAGAGATAGACATGGAGAAAAGGAAATGCACTGGGGATATATTTTGGTGGAAGGGTGGACAGGATTTGGATATTGGGGTGGTGAAGTCTGACTCAGTTTTGGTTTTGTTTTTGGCCCAAGCACCTGGGTGAATGGATGAACAGGCATTTAGGAGAAACCTAAAGGACTAGAACAGGAGACCATGGAAAGCAAGCCACAACACCCACAGAGATGAGTTGTCTTGAGCATTTTTAGTTTAGGTTTTCTTCTTTAGCCAATGGAAACCTGTCAAGGGGACTGTTTATTTCCACAAGCCACCTGTGTCCAGACAGAAAGCATTTGGAATCAAACAAGGGATTCTCTGGCCTTTTTCTAAATTCCTTTGATGGATGATTGTCATGTCAGTGGTTAAATACGCACTTGCTGCTGCCCATACACAACTGCCTTCCAGCTTGGTCTTTGGAAAGCCCAAAACAGGCCAAGTCAGTGACACCCCAGCTTGTGTCCCCATTAGAACTGTGAATAGAGTGTTGGAGGTTCCCTCCAAAAGGAGATGACACAAAGGGAAAGAGGTTTTATTAAAAGATAAAAGAATCAAGATGGGGATAACAATGGTGCAAAAAATTGAAATTAAAATTGATATAAAAACTTAAGCATGATTCTTAGAGCACTTAGAGCAGGAACTGCCATGTAGCAAGCACTATATACCCACCTCTTACATAGGATAATATCTAAAGAAAAAGAGGGGGTGCTTGTCTTCACATGGATTTTTGTGACAAGAAAGTATAAGAGCTCTTTGAAATCTAGAAAAAGTGTTCTGCAAATAGAAGACATCACTATTAATGTGAGAGCATTGTCTAGATGCTGGATTCTAGAGTCTTCCACCAGGTATGACCTACATGATCTCATACCATGGGGGTCAACTGATTTCGGAATTAGCCTGTGTGAACGTCCTGGGAGCAGCCCTTATCACATACTGCATGCTCAGAAAACAACTGCTTCTTTCTTTTTATCCAATGTCAGTCTGAACGTCAGTTTCCTAGAGAGCCTCCTTGAAGTCCCTCCATGGTTGTCAGTAACCATGCTGCCATTTGCATTTCTTCTTTCAACAGAGATTTCCTGGGGACCAAGGAGGCATCGCTACTGCTGATGGCCATGTTCCTCCTCGCTGTGTTTTACCATGGACAGCAGGTAATCTGACATTTTCCTCTAATTACCTTGGTTACCCGGTATTCCCATTGCTGTAAAATTGGCCCGAGAGACCTCCACTCATCTCTGCAATAAATGGCTTTTAGTTGCTTGTAGGAGGTTGTGATTCTTAATGAATCAATTCCTAACATGTACCACTTAATAAAAAACTAAATGCAGATAATTTGGAGAGCAGTATGGTTTTCACTCCCTTTAGGTTTATCTCTTTCAATGAGATCATTGTCCAAAAAAAAAAAAAAAAAAAAAGCTGTGCTCTGGAGCCCAGTCCATCTTTCTTTGGTCTATGTGCACTTCAAAAAAAAGTAATCAAGAACAGAGAAAAACAAAACAGGAAGACTAACAGCCAGAGCAGAAATAGAAACATATCACTGAGAAATCACCATGGAAACAGGGAGGAAATGAACCCTGAGAAAGCAGGGATGAAACAGCCCAAAAGCTCAAGAACCTAGAGGTACATACACAAAGTTGTTTGCAATAAAGCAGGATGGAAAACTGTAGTCAAGAGGGGAAAGGAGTAAATAAAACTTGTCAGTTGAAGAAAGGGGGACAAGAATTAACATGTATCAAGCTCCTACTGTGTGCCTAGCATTTCACTCCTATTTTCTCATTTAATCCTCTCAACGATCAGGAATGGTCATGATTATCAACCCTGTTTTACAGATGAAAAAAGTCCGCTGCTCAGCCAGTAAGTGAGAAATGTAGAATTCAAACCCAGATCTGTCTCCAAAGCCCACCTGCCCACTTTCTAGACTGGGGAAAGACAGAAAAGAATTATCTGCAAATTATCACAACAGCCAAGGGCATTCGATCCTGCCATATGACTTTCACTTGCTTTTCAATTTTAGCTGAACGTATGGTGAAACAGTAAGCCAAATGTCAAAGTCTGGCCATTTGCACAATTCCTACATTTAGGTCTTTCTGGTTAACTGTGAGAGCTGGGGTCATATCTTCCACACCCTGATGGCTCCTATTTTGCGGAGAGAACTCCTTTGTCTGACGTGTAAATGATAACCCATTTGACAGCTGTAGAGACAGAATCAGACAAGGCAAGTCTATAGAGAAACATAACATATGTTCCAACACACTGACAAGTGAGACATTCTCAGAGACAGTGACTGGAGAGCACATTCAGAGTAGGGGGTCCTCATTCCATAATAAGATGGATGTATTTGCTCTGTCACCTTAAGGAATTACTTTGTGCCCCATCAGTGCCTCTTTCCTCAAAACCCTTCTAACAGTCTAATTCAATTTATTCTATTCTCCACTTCTCCTGGGAAAGCAGATAACCTAATCACATGAAGAATGTGTATAAAGTATGAGTGTATAAAGGAATAGTGAGGGCCTGAATACTTAAGTGTCATCTGATATTTTTCTTTTTCTTATCAACTTTCCAAAGGTTTTGAAATTACATAACCACATCCCCCGTGACTGTAGAAGTTACAGATATAAGCTTTGGAGTGGGGTGGGTAATATTCAAACCCCAACTCTGCCACTCAGTAGCTACGGGACCTTCAGTCATTTACTTAACTTTCTGAGTCTCACTTTTCTCACCTATAACATGGGTGTGACAGAGTGATGGAAATGTTAGCTGTCTTGATTGTGGTGGTGGTTTCATGAGTGCTTACATCCATCAAAATTCATGAGATCGTACACCTGAAATACGTGTAGTTTACTGTACAGGAATCATACCACAATAAAGGTGTGTAAAAAAATGGGTGTGATAACAAATTCTATGGGCTTGTTATAGTAGTGTATGAGAATACAATTATATTTCTCCCAGTGGTTTGCATGTAGACTAAGTGCTCAAAAATTGTGAGCTATTAATATTTTTATTTGAAAGCAAGTGTCTGAGACAAACAGAGAAAGTATTATTATCCATCTGGTCCCAAGGCAGCAGCAGAGACTCAAGTCACTTGAGGTCACAAAGCCAATAAGGAGAACCAGACAGAAACAGGAAGCCAAATGCTCTAACTTCTAGGTCCATTCACTGTCTGTTAGAGGATGCTTGAGTGCCACCTATTCATAGCATCTGTCAGAGTCCTGCTCATCCGGATCAAGTCTGTCCACTCCTGAGTTTGCTAACTGCTTCCACCGTCTTCCCTCTGTGACTCAGAGGCCCTCTATTTTTATTAAAGGCTGAATAATCCCCGCTGATGCCTGGTACGCGGCAGCAGCCCGGTGGGAGCGTGTGTACTTTTACGTCTCCTGAGTGACGGAGGCGGTTATGTAACGGAATAATTGGGAGATTTCATCTTGCACATATGTGGAAGCGATATGCCAAACACTTCCTCCTCCTCCAAGGCAGGTGAATATTCTGAACATCGGACAGGGGGAGCAGACAGTCGGGTGCTTCCCGCCTCGTGCCAAATTCGCTTGCTGCTGTGCGGTTTAGGCTTTGCTTCAGCATCTCCATTTATAGCAGAGGAAGTCATACCCCTGCGCGGAGACAGAGGTTAATGAAGTCAGAGCCCCGGCACTTACTTCCGGGTCTGATAAAGACGGGCACTGGAATTGTGCCGCTTAGAAAGAAAGACCCAAGCAATGGAACCTATTTTTTTTAATAAAATTTTCAACTTTAAGAATAGCAGAATCCTAGAGTACTCATCATGAGTGTATAAAGCATTCAGATGTTAGTCACCATCCAGGGATAAAATGGACCAAATATTCTTGGTTTGCATCCCAGTGATGCTACTGGGAGAACAGGTGACCTTGAGATGCTCAGCCTCCCAGATCTGCCATTTCTTTACCTGTAAAGTGAAAAGGCTAACAGCTATCTATCAAGAATTGGAGAACAGCTGAATGAGGTCATGTACATAGAGTGTAGAGGTTAAAAGCCAAAGCAAGCTTGGAGTCACAATGCCTTGAGTTCAAAGCCAGACTCTATTTGTGAGATCTTGGCCACTTGACTTCGCTTTCCTGTGCCTCCATTTCCTCAGCTGTGAAATGGGCATAAAAAGTAAGTACCTCCTTGTGGAGCTCTTGTGTGATTAAATGACCTTCAGTATGAATAAAGTGCTTAGAATAGTGCCTGGTCCAAGGGAAGAACTCTGCCAGCATTCGTTATCATCATATGATAGGAGCCTGGCATAAAACATGCAAACAATGGGGTGCTTTTATTTTTTTTAACATTTTCTTATTGAGTTATAGTCATTTTACAATGTTGTGTCAAATTCCAGTGTACAGCACAATTTTTCAGTTATATATGAACATACATATATTCATTGCCACATTTTTTTCACTGTGAGCTACCACAAGATCTTGTATATATTTCCCTGTGCTATATAGTATAATCTTGTTTGTCTGTTCTACATTTTGAAATCCCAGTCTGTCCCTTCCCACCCCCTACCCCCTTGGCAACCACAAGTTTGTATTCTATGTCTATGAGTCTGTTTTTGTTTTTATTTATGTTCTTTTTTTTTAGATTCCGCATATGAATGATCTCATATGGTATTTTTCTTTCTCTTTCTGCTTACTTCACTTAGAATAACATTCTCCAGGAACACTCATGTTGCTGCAAATGGTGTTA